ATGTGTGTGACCGAGGAGGAATCAGTTGAAATAGAAACCAACTTTTTTTTTTTTTTTTTTTTTTTTTTGCGCAGCGTAAAATAAAAAAATTCAAAATTAAAAAATTGAATAAAATAAGAAATCAAAATGGGGACAAATACTGTGGAGTTTAAAGGGGGTGTTAAGTACATGTATAGGTACATTTCAGATTCATTCAAATTAAAATGTTTTCGAATGTAAAGATTTAAATAATTGGCAGAAAAAGTATGGTTTTAAAGGGAAATTAAAACAGGAAGACTGCAAAGAGCTTGTGCTTGCCATAAAAAGAAAGGCAAAAGGCAATAAAAAAAGAGAAGCTTGAGCAGAGTGTGGGTGAATGTTGGCTTCAACAAGCTTGTGAGAGAAAGGACTCATGGAATAAAACTTAAACAATTAAAAGCAGAAGCAATGGTTCAGAATAAAAAAAAAATACAATCAAGTAAGAAAAAAACAACTATATATGTCAGACCTGAGGACAATTAGACAATAACATCAAACAGACAGAGTGTGTTGATACAGCAACTCCACTTTCAGATGATGCAGACATAGAAGAATGTCCCCACACACACACACACACACACACTGCCCACCAACCTTTGTATCCAAGTTAAAAAACCTTGGACCAACCAAAAACAAAAGATCCGACGGGAGCATGTAGAACTGTGTTCTGTGAATAAATAAAAGGCATAACAGAATCAAAAGAATCCAGAAAATGGAAATAAATGTTGAGTGCAAATTATTTGGGCACCAAATCGTCCAGTAAACTTATCAGGGAGAGATGCAATGTCACAGTTATGACTAGCAATTGTGCCCGATGAGACTGGTGGAATGACTGTGAAAAGAATAGACAAAATAAACACTGATGTTATGGTTGTGCAAGGAACAGGCACACCAAACTATATCTGGTCATTAGATTTGAACACTGGTCCACCTTTAAGTGTCCCAACAACATTGCTTAGCAAAATAACAGATGTGTTAAAAAAGCCAGACCAAATTCAACTAGTCGATAAACTGCATGTAACTTTGCGTTTAAAGCACACTCCAGGGCAACTTTGATAAAAAGGTGCACAAACTAAAAACTCAACAAATTCTAATACAACACATAATAACAGATAAAGACTGCACAGCTGTTGCTACTGTCAAGGTTTCAGAAGAAGCAGAGAGATTACATGCAGTAAGTACGGTGACCCATTTTTTTAGCAAAATAAAAAAGGACTTGGCAGGACATGGCAACGAATGGGCGTAATAGCTACCTCAGCTGCATACCGCCTTGACTGGGAATGGCAATCAGATAACAACTACTGCAGCTCTTCACTGAACTTTCCACTGAAAATGTACAAATTCTGCTGACAAAAGAAGAAGAGAACCTCTTAGCAGATACCGACAACATTATGGTCACAAGGCAATGCAGCTGTAGGACAATACTACTACTACTAACGTGCAAACCAAGGATAATAAGACCAAACAGTGAATATAGACAATGCATTAGACATTATCCAATCAAATTAGACACACAGTTCACAGTTTTAGCTGCTGAGCTAGTTTTGCTACATCTACATTATCTTTGGGTCCAAAATTTAGCCCTTAAAGTTATTTCAGTTTTTTTCCTAACTTTTAGACATTTTCTAAGTAATATTGTCTGTTTAATATGGATATTTGCCTTCATAGGATATATATCGTTTTCCTTAAAAAAAGATTATATTATTATTTATTATATTTGCTATATTTTTATTTTTATTTTAAGTTACTTTTGTATTGCTTTGCTTATTTGGTTTTATGTTTCTGAAACTATTTCTTTTTCTATTTCTACTACTGTACTGTACCGGGCTCTTATTGGACAGTCCAGTTGTCAATCACAAATAGAGCCATGTTACATAGAACACACGTGTGTGTCGGGAATGCCTTAATCCCTGTCACTGTTTCAATATCACTTCAATGGCAGAAGTGTTCTGCTTTTCAACAGGTAAAATAGGTATGTTCCATTTACTATATGTACTGTTTCACAAAAAGAGGGGTGAGAGACATATATTGATGTATGTAAGGGTAACACATGATTGTTGTAGCATATGTTAACTCTGCTGCATTCACATTGTCATGAGGGCATCAACAGGAAAAGAAGGTAGAGTGAAAGTGAAAAGAAGGTAAGGAGAACGTGAAAAGAAAGTAAAGAGGAAGTGAGAGAAAGTGATGTAAGGGTCAGGTCAGACAGTCAATAAAATATATGTATCACCTGAAGGTAAACCAATTTTACCAAAATCATTGTATAAATGGGCTGCAATATTGAGCCATGGGCCTTGCCATGTCTCAACAGGAGGGATGGTGAATACCATAAACAAAGTATTCACCACCTATGGATTTAATAATTACTCAAAAAAATGTTTTTGTACAGCATGTCTAACATGTGCTAAACATAGTTCACAAGGAAACATCCGACCAAAAAGAGTTAAGTTCCCAAAACCTAATTACCTGTTCCAGGTGCTACATATGGATTTCATTGAACTCAATAAAAGTGAAGGACAGAAATACTGTCTAGTCATAGCGGATACCTTTTCTAAATGGGTAGAATTGTTCCCATCAAAAGCTGCTGATGCTGGTAAAAGCATTGGTCAAAGGGATTATACCAAGATTTGTGACAATAGAAATTATTACATGAACCAAGTCATATCAAACATAAGCCAAAAGTTGAAAATAAATTAAAAACACCACTGTGCTAAAAATAAAAGAAATACAAAATTCTAACTGTATGCCAGATACACCTATATCTTTGCAGAGTGACGGTACGCCAATCCAGGTCGGCGACTGGGTGCTAATAAAGATCATCAAAAGGAAGTGTTGGTCGAGTCCAAAGTGGGAAGGCCCATACCAGGTCTTGCTGACGACGCCTGCAGCCATAAAGATTGCTGAACAACCTTGGATTCATCTTTCGCATTGCAAGAGTCAGAGGTTCTTGGTACAGGATCCAATTGGTTGAGGGGAAGTCCAACTACAAAGGGGTGTAGCTATATAGAAGCTATACGTCTCAATGTTGGTGAAGCAAGGCGATCCTCAGCCATTTAGAGTGATTACTGTATTGGGCTAACCACAGTCCTGCAGACATAAGATGATTGACAAAGAGAGTGAAGTACTGGTAACCTCTCCTCTCAAAATGATGACGACAGAAGATACTCAACCCAAGCCAAAACCATGGCACCCATTTCGTAGATTAGGAGTTCCAATGCTACAGAAAAACAACCCCACCACTGACCACCCATCAATGATGAAAGATCCAGCAGAGCAACACCATACTACAGAAGCGTATCGCTGCCACATTGAGAAAAGAAAATTGGCTCAGTATCACATAATTGTGTGATACGTTTCGCATTATTTCGTGATAAGTTTCACGTTATTATGTGATAAGTTTCACGGTATTTCGACCCAAGCCAAAACCATTGGAGTTTCAATGCAACTCTGTGTGTGTGTATTGATAGTCACAGGAGTTGTCCTGGTGCTGCCTATCATACTCACCCTAAAAGACAAAGAGCTACAGAAAAACAACACCACCACTGACCACCCATCAATGATGAAAGATCCAGCAGAGCAACACCATTCACACCAGAGAGTAACAATAGAAAACACTGAAGCAACGAATGATTCTAAATGTTTAAATAACTATGGTGGTATTACTCTTGAATATATACTGTATTAGGTAAGACAATGGCGATCTGTGTTCAGTAATTAATTGGAACTACACTTACAAACCCTGTGACCTATATGTGTGTTTATTATTATGTCCATAGCTTGATGTGAACAGAATCGGCTGCCCCGTAGAGGATGGTGTGAAGATTGGAACACAGTAGCAGGATATACAGGTCAATGGATTCCCACAATGTCAGATAAAAATGTGTACAGAGACAAAGACATTTGGAATCAATTGAAAATCCAACGTGATTTTTCCAACACCCAAAATACGATCACTATGTACCTGAATTGGACTAAATTACCAACGGGGAGTAATTGGAAACTCTCTGGTAAAACAAATCAAACTGAAATATATTTGGTCCTTGGAGTAGATCAAACTGGAGTAGATCTAATGGGATTTGTATGAAAATACGGGAATATTTTCATTATTTTGCCTGATTTGTAGATCATCACCACCACCATACACAACTAGCGGTCAAGTCAGAATGAATACAGGGATTTAAGGTAATATTTGCAGATTCATTTAAATGCACTCCGAACTGGTTTTAGCGAAAGTGAACGTGTTAGTGATGTATCGTTCGCTTCGTTACATATGACTCGTGACTCCCGAGTCACATGAAAGATTTGTTCATATTGAACTCACAAATCACCCTCCGCGAACTAATCTTTCACTGTGAACTAATCTTTCATTGCAAACGAATCACTCTGTGAACTTATCTTTCGCTATGAACCAATCTCTCGCTTTGAACTAATCTTTTACAACTAACGAATCGCGCTCTGTGAACTAATCTTTCATTGCAAACGAATCACTCTGTGAACTTATCTTTCGCTATGAACCAATCTTTCGCTTTGAACTAATCTTTTACAACTAACGAATCGCTCTCTGTGAACTAATCTTTTGCTGTGAACCAATCTTTCGCTGTGATCTAATCACTATGAACGAATCACTCTCTGTGAACTAATCTTTCGCTTCGTTCTCGCAGATTCATTTAATTTGTCACGTGACAGAGAGCTCGGGTCTCTTTTGCTCCCATTCATCTTCACATTGTGGTGTTTTTTTCTTGCTTAGGTTTTCACATGGTTTTAATTACTTATGGCATTTTTTGTACTTTGTAGACTTTGTCAGCGGAAGCAAACCATGTTGCCTTCAGTATTTAGTGTCGGAGAACCGCAGCCTTCTTTACAACGCCCACAATAGGGATAAAACGCCACTTGCTGTAAAACGAATGAAATGATTCGTTCACGACTCGTTCATTTTACTGTTCGAGAATCAAAGATCCGAATCAGTAAAAAGAGTCGGTCTTCCCATCACTAGAACGTATTACATTTTCGTGCTTTTTTTACGTTATGCGTCGTCGTCCGCGTAGGTCACGTGATTGATTTTGACGTAGAGGATAGTGTTAAGAGAAAGTGAACATCACTACGTAGAGGCAGCTGCAGCACACGATACAGTGATAATGGACTTTAACGTAAAGAAACTCGCCTCCGATGCAGGACTGTTCTTCACACGAGCTGTTCAGGTAACCTGTGGGTGAATATGGGCATACAGCTTGCCTCTGCGGCACTAACTGTAGCAGCTCCTCGTCTTGTCTTCATGTGACATATGGCTGCTGTCCCGCGGATTTTCTGTTCCGCTGTTCAACGAGTTGCTGTGCTAAATCCCACAGTAGAGAGTAAAAACGCCAAACACGCGGACGTTCCCGCAGTGGTGGTGTTTGTTCACATTGCAGCTTCTGGGCCGCAACTGTTTCTGTCATACGTCGCTGCTTGACACCACCGGTACCTGTCAGTTAGCAGGTCGAGCTAGCCTGCAACGGCAAAGTCTAATGTAAAATAAAATAAACACAGCGGTATATTTGCACAGCCACGTTGTATGAGGACTATAGTTATTTATAAAATTGGTCTGTCATGTACAGTGTAGGCGGAAGTGGATATCAGCTGAGCCAGAGCGGGCACTATACCAAAAACCCAACCCCCGACGTGACGTAACGACTTCGCGTTCCAGTGTTATGGTTTTTAAAGGTGTACTAGAGGAGATGTACGAGGGGGGGAAATGTCACTTTTGCTTGACCCAACTGAAGCAGGATAAATACAACCCATTAGAACCCAGTAGTTATTATTATTATTATTATTATTATTGTGATTATCTATGAGCGACCATTCATAAATATAACAATTTAGCATTGTATACCTGGGTTCAATATTTTGTGTTTTTTCTCCATCTCAGTTCACAGAGGAAAAGCTGGGTCAAGCAGAGAAGACAGAGCCGGATGCTCATTTTGAGAACCTGATGAGCCGTGCAGACTGCACCAAGCACTGGACTGAAAAAATCTACAGACAGACTGAGGTTCTTCTGCAGCCCAACCCAAGTATGAGACAAACACACAATTAAATGTCCTGTAATTACCTGTTGGTAGGTAGGTGAACCATGAAAAAACGAAGTGAAATTTGAATTCTTAATTACATGTGCACATGTGTATATACTGTACATGTACATTAATATATGTGTATATATGTACATATATGTGTATATATGTACATTTATATATGTGTATATACAGTATATGTGTATGTGTATATACCAAGGGTAGAAAGTTCTAAGACAGATTTAAATAACTAAAACTGCTTTGATACACAGCTTTGATCTCAACCTTTACAAATGAACAATTCTAAAATCAGAATTATTGGAAATATCAAACTTATTACTTGAATGGAAACCTTATAAGATTGTTAAAGCTTTGAAACAGGTTTGGGCTATTTTTTTTCTTTTTCAGACACATAAATAAAAAATACTCAAAAAAGAAAAACAAACACCAGTCCACAGACAAACATTAAACTAGCCAGCAAAATATACAACTAAAATGTTGAACTAAATGTTGAACTAAAGCAAACCAAACCAACCAAAATAACTGGATAATGACAAAAATAAGACAAAGCACAAAACCGACCACAGATCCACTGGCTGGAGTAACAAAATAATTGAGCTGCTCCGTATTTGGACACAGTTTCACTTGAGACATCATACTGCTGCTACGGTCTCATTGAGGCATAATGGTACTGAGTAATCACAAAGCTTTCAAAGCCCTACAGCTGATAAGGGATATGTCAATCATCTGAGAGCACCTGAAGTTGGGGAAAACAGAAATAAATAGGCAGGTTGTTTCTTCAAGAAAGGAATTTGCAAATGGAATCAATGTTTGCAGAAGTGAGGAGGATATGAAGGATATGCAAAAAATGGAAATGTAGTTTCATTTTGTCTTAGTACTTTTCGAGGAACCTCTGTAAATGCAATTCACAGATAAATGGATTTTGCCATTCATCTTATAACTTAACTCTTATAACTTATTTGGTAACTGGTTTTATTACACAAAATTCATGTTGTTATGTTATGACTCTAATGTCAGAACTAAGACAGCTCTTCAGTAATTTGCTGACAGCTCACATGTCAACAGCAACTGCCCTCAACTGATCAAACACAAGAACAAAGGTCTTCATTTAAAATAGACATGCAGGACAAAGGTGAGCTCTAACGTGTGACTTTTTGATTCTCCATGCTACAGTTGATCACACTGGTGAGTATTCTCCCTCTCAATTTCAGTGACCTGCTGTGGAAACCTAACATGCCTTTGGATGCCCTGGCAAATAATTCATAAAATAAGTGAGAAAAGATCTGTGCTAGCCATGAGCCGTATGTTAGAAGTAAACAAAGATGTTAACAGTACGAGTTGTGGGTTTTAGGTGAAGCCACAACTCAATGTAGACAGAGCTGCTCTGTCCATTTACCATTTAAACTGATGCAGCATCACGTTGCAAAATGTCATCACAAATAGACCGTTATGTAACAAGGCCAGAAAAGCATTGTTTTCACAGCCAACACAGACATTGACTAATTTCCATAGACTTGTATGAAAAATTAGAGTTACTGTTAAAACCATCAATCTTCATATGGGGTTTTCCTCGGGGGTCACTGTGGGCTCTAGATTGCTCTGCCTAGTTCTTATAAACAGTCTATGAAGATGATGAAAATATACATTTTACTACTCATCTCCTATTTTACTGCTGCCAAGCTGCCTAACCTATAGTTACAGTTATTTCTGGCACATAGATAATTAAGTTAGTTTATGCTTAATGCATCAGGCCATCACAAGATGTTGTGTTATTACTTTCAGGACAGTATTTTTTAACTCTTCTTTAAAGTCTGCATCTTGACGATCAAGTTTTCTGTCCATATTCTAATGCAACTATACAAAGTAGAAAAAGAAAACCTAATGTGCCACCAGGCTGCTTGCAAAAGTAGCGTTCAACAGTGTTTGTGCTAGAGGTTACATGCTCTTTAGAGAAGAATTAATGACTAATATTGAACATGGACAGAAAACAACTCTATCATTTTAAAAGTACATTGTTAACTCTTGAGGGAAATGATGGGTTACACTCTAGATCTTCTCCAACATGATGTCAGAGTGAAACTAATCCTCATGACACCATCCTGTTGGTGTGCAGTGCTTGTTTGTGCAAACTGTATGAACTGTACCTGGAAATACACCAGAGTTAGAGGAAGTGTGTTGCCATTTGTTCTTGCGCGTTTTTCACAAGTTCAAAGCACATGATTTCTAAGAATTTGTGAATGCGATGTGGGTCATGACCTTTAAGTCTAAAGACTACTACAACTACTACTACTACAACGTATTATTGCTTTAAAGCACTTGTGGAAAACATGTTTTATCTAAGTGATGCCATTCAGACTGGAGTATGTCATGCTCATCATTTATCCTTCACAGTACATGTTAGACTTGGGTGGTGCTGATATTTTAGAAGATTTCTGAAAGAATGAACATTACAAATGTTATTCTGGAGCTATTACTCTTTACCAGTAAAGCAGGAGTGAACATTTTTTAATTAAAACGGTCAAGGAGAGTTGATGCTTTAATCAAAAATGAAGAATTTGAACAAGACTACAACAGATTTTTTTCACAAAAGTAAGTAACATATACAGTATGTCACTCCGGAGTATAAGTCGCACCCAGCCAAAGATGAAAAAAGAGGACTTGGCAAGTTGGCATGTTTTAATGCTATATGTCAGGATGATGGATCAAGACTTTCTTATTGAATTTATGGGAGATGGTGACGTTACCACAAAATGGTGTATGTGGAGGACATCTTAAACCAAGGATCCCCTGTATATCAGGGAAAACTGTAAGGGCAAAGAATGATGGGCATTACCAACCCTTGCTAGTAATCCTAATAGATGTTGTATTCTTGTCTTTGTGAAAGTGTTCCGTTAAACCAAAAGGTTAAAAATCTATCAGAAACAAAACTTCCAATTTAATGTGTGATGATTCTGTCTTGATGGGTTTGGTCTAATGTTATAAGGAATGGTCATGGAATTTTCATTGCTCATGCCTACACTGTGCCACTAGCCACAGGGTTGCGGATACCAACCTGCCATCTGTCAACTTCTCGTTGGTTGTGAGTCTATTTTGTAGTCGACACGGGGGATTTAGAAATGTACAAATTTGAGTTTTTATTGTCTATTATCTATTTCATGTTGATGATTATGTTTTATTACAAGTTATTTTGAAGTTATTTCAAAGATAAAGCATAGGTATCAGTGTGAAGTTAATATTTTTGGATCATTCGAAAGATTGACAGAATGGCTCGTGTCAGGAAATCCCTGCCCTGTATATATAGCGTTACACAGTGACAACACCTATCACGTTTGTTTATTCGGAAATCTAAATACCCACCCACACACAGTGAATTTCGATGTAGCTGTCATTTGACTGTTGTGCAAACTGTGCCCGTGTTTGCTGATTTGTTCTGGTTGATCTTTCTTTACAGGTGCCAGAATTGAAGAGTTTCTCTATGAGAAGTTAGACAGGAAGGCACCATCCAGAATTACCAATGGAGAATTGCTGGGTCAATACATGGAGGATGCAGCGAAGGAATTTGGTGCAGTCAGTCCTTATGGTGAGTGTGCAAAAACTGGCATGGCAGCTCTGGGTGTTTGCAGAATCATAATGTGTTTATGTTTCCACAGGAAGCACACTAATTATTGTTGGAGATTGTGAAAAAAGATTAGGTGCAGCCGAAAGAGATTTCCTCCAAACATCGACCATGAGCTTTCTCACCCCACTAAGAAACTTTCTGGAAGGAGACTGGAAGACCATCTCAGTGAGTCAGAATATTTACATTCACGGAAGTCTATTTCTATTGATGAAGAAACTAGTCATTAGCATGTGTCAGCAGTATCATTTATCCTACACAACAGACTTCAGTTGGACTAAACATATATTACATCCAATAAGTAAAAACATTTTAGCATAACATTGTTTACATATATTTTGTTGTTTGTAAAAAAGGTCTTGTCTGGTGGTTGTTTATTTTTCCTTTCATCCATGACCAGAAAGAACGACGCCTCCTGGAGAACCTGCGCCTGGACTTGGATGCCTGTAAAACACGACTGAAAAAGGCCAAGATGGCAGAGGCTAAAGCTGCAGTGAGTCTTTGATTTAACTTCCAAAGCTATTAACCAATCCTTGCACACCTTCTAGCCATCCTTTAACTGCAGTGCTGCTATGAACCACCATTAACTGGCTTTGTATTCACAACCTTTTCAGTGCGACGGGGAAGTGAGTATTAAGGGAATTTGCATGTATTGCTTATTTTCTTCCTCCTTCACTGGTTATGCTTTTATTTCCTGTGCAATTTATGAATTGACAAGAAATCATTTGTGAAAAAAGGGCAACAAAAAAAACTGTGACAAAACAGTGTAAGATGGAATATAAAAACCAGTGACTGAGCAGATTCTCCAAATTATTTGCTGCTTCCATCCTGTCCTTTCATCAAGGTTTAACAGCATGAGCACCTCTCTGACCCGAGGGATCACATCACATTTGTTGCAATGTCCCTTTACAGTAATCAGATTTATTAATTGGATGTATTACCTGCATTTAAACAGTTTAAAATTACTATGAGTTAACTCTGATAATAGAATGAGTAATCGAGGTAAACTACATCCAGGCTGTATATTTATAGTATAAATACTGTATATACAGTGTGCCCTACAGAATTTTTTAAACCAATCACTACATTAAAATTTGGTAATTTCCAATATTTTCATTATTTTTGTGAAAGATAATAATATTCTAGCCTAAAAGGGAAAACCAGTTTTAAATAAATGAAAAGACATTTTGCAACACATACATACAGGATAATACAAAATAAAACATTTTTGAAATCTATGATACCCGCATGTCATGCGTGACATATCTACTGTATATAGTATCAGGCCTGGGCAATACAACATATATGGTGAGCATTTAATTAATGTAGTGCAATGACTTCAGTTGGACACAGGAGGGCACTGTTGTTGTTTTTCGACTGTTGATTACGGTGTAGGGAGGTTCATAAAGGGTAAATATATCTGTAAATCATATAATAACTATCTCGCCTGTACTTTTCCCTTTTCGCGATGGGTCTTGGAACGCAACTACCGCGATAGGAGGGGGACTACTCTCTCTCTCTCTCTCTCTCTCTCTCTCTCTCTCTATATATATATATATATATATGTTCTGTTCTGTCATAGGTTACATTCTTAAAAGCAACAATAACATTTTTATCTTATCTCAGTTTACATTTAAACAGCAGAGACATGGCCGACTACTGAACTGAACTTTAGATAAAATATGGCACAACGTGTTTTACTAGTAAAAGGTTTTACAACAACAACTAGACCGGATCCATTTCACAATAAAATATAGTGTAATCTTGAGGCATGTGTCATTCAGTAATGCAGATAATCTGTTTTATATTAAACTTTCAGGAAGCTCAAGTGGCACTTGTTTTGTTTGCTGTTTCATCGCTGCTGTCATGATTACTATATTTTGACATCTTCTGCACAGTGTGTGCTGAAATATGTGTTTTAGTGCTTTCCACTGTTTTTCCAAATCTTTCTTGTTTTCACTGTTCTCTTAGACGGCTCCAGATTTTCAGGAGACCAGACCTCGTAACTATGTGCTGTCGGCCAGTGCCTCTGCGGTAAAATGATCAATGAATACAAACAGCTGTGTCTCAAGATTGTTTGGCGATAACAAATAAATACATATTTTTTTCTTTTGCCCCAAAGTTATGGACTGAAGAAGTGGAGAAAGTGAGCAAAAGTTTTTAAAGTTTATTTATTTTTAAACCTAAAATATTAGAAGATTATGAAACACTATTGTCGTTCTCACTTTGTTATATTTTTTTATGTTGCCATTCATGTCTAAGGTTTACATTAAATTTGTTAATGTTTTAGGCACAACAGGAACTCAGAGTGGCCCAAACAGAGTTTGACCGTCAAGCAGAGGTGACACAGTTGCTATTAGAGGGAATCAGCAGCACACATGTATGTCTGCCAGTTCACCTCCTTGATTGCATTATAATATAATATAATAATCTTACTTATAATAAGAGAAGAGTGACACACTTCCTCTTGTTTTTGTCTTTTGCTGACCTACAGGTGAATCACCTGCGCTGTCTGCACGAGTTTGTGGAGGCCCAGGCTGCCTACTATAAACAGTGTCATTTCCACATGCAGGGAGCTGGCAAGGTATCAATATGAAAGCAATGTAAAGGGAGTTTGTCAGCTTTTACTCACTGATGGATTCATGTTACAATCGTAGGACAAATCTGTGTGTGGTTTCCTGTGTGGGAGGTTGGTCTCAATGTGAGTCATATATTCACAATGTTTTTCACATGAACTCTTGTCATAAGATATAAAGTATCTCAGTACTTGATTCTTGATGGACATCTGCCTTTATCTGCCTTTCTGCTAACAATAATAGCTACACCTCTTGTGGAGTAGTGTAGGCAGTAAACATTAACGTGACTAGACCACAACTGTCAGGGTTAATCATAATTTAATCACTCGTTCTATTGTTTGATTTGTTTGGTTTGATTTGTCACGACTCATTATAAATACCCAGGTGTTACAGGTCTTATCATAGACAGAGTTTAAACTCAATATTTCTATGTAAATGTTTGACATGAATGCATGTGGTATTTGGACAGCAGTGTATACTCAGACTTTTTAATCTGGTGGCCTTTCTAATCCAGCCCGCCAAACACTGATACAAGATAAGGTAAAGGCTGATGTCAACATTCAGTTCCATGGATTACAACAAATTGACTGCAGTTTCTGTTAATACCACTGAATGGTGTCAGACATTATATGTGCTAAATTTGTGGCAAGTTCAGGTTTATTCTTGGACATTTTATTTTATTTACTTCACCCAGCATTCTACATCCAACCAATACTGAACCAGTCAAATTCTGAATCTCTTTTTGGCCGGTGAGCCAAAACGTTTGTCCAACCCTTCTCAAAGTGTACACTGCAGTTAACGTTACACATAAGTTTATCAAATCATACATGAAAAAGTGAAATCATGATCATTCCTTTCCATGTCTCATGCCCTCAGCTCTGATGGAGATGTGTGAGTATGGTGTGGTCTGTTACACTCTCTCTTTGCCTTTTCTCAGCTGTACATCTGCCTGTTGTTGGGACATTTCATCAACACGTAGTACATTTGTATTTTGACACCGTCGAAGTTTTTGCAGCTCCACTGTGGGTTGGGGTTTAGTTAAGCCTTATACCTATTTTTCTTTTACTGGTGAGACTAGACTTAACTCTAAGTGAATAAGCAGTTGAAAACTTGGCAGGTAAACACTGCAAAAATCAGGTTTCCGACCTGTATCTGAACTCTGCTTTCCTGTTTTTCCATTTTAAAATCACATTATTGTATTAAAGTGTTTTTAACATAATCTCTGTGTATGTATTGTATATCGTCTGACTGGCAACCCGTTTGCTCTTCATAGGCTCCCCAATGCTTTTGCATTAAACACCACTCACTCTATGGCTGCATCTCCAGCTGAAGCCATCAGCAGCCCCACAGACAACGACACACTGAAGATCGAGGAGGTTCAGTCACCAGCTACAGGAACTCGCAAGGCGAAGGTCCTGTACGATTATGATGCCGCTGACTCCAGTGAACTCTCCCTTCTAGCCGATGAGGTAAAGATCTCCACCAACCCACTGACCTGCATCCAGGTTCTTTCAACAAACTCATTCCCAAGGACTTGGGTTTGTAATTTGTTTATGAAATGCGTTTTGTTTGAAAGTGAAACAAAACAAAAGTGAAGAAAGTGTGGATGAGGACCTACTTTAATTAATGGGACAAAGAGGCTGTAGTGTCTGGGCTTGAATCCAAGTCTGAGGGACGAGTAAAATAACAGGTAGCTGATACTGTTTTAATAGGAGTTATGATGAAACTGGAAACAGTGTTTCTCGGAAAGCACTTATTATTACAACCTTCAAAGTTAACAATAAGATAAACAATTAAACAGAACAGAGTCAGTCAAATGTACATTTGTTTAGATTAGATTAGATCAAACTGTCATTACAAGACAGAGCAAAAAATGCAGGTTGTATCTGAGCAGAAGTACAAAAGACGCAGATATGCGTTTGAATATAGAAATTCACACTGAATAAGAGATTAGTTCTAATTCTATAAATATACATACCAAAATAGTCACCTTAAAAATGTTATAATACACAACACCAACACGTATGTATACATGTTTATATAATAGTGAAGATGCCATTGAATTAAAGCCTTAACTGACTCATACAATTGAACTTTGCACTGGTACTGTCTAAGGTCAGGTTCAGGTCAGGTCCTGTAAAAACTTGTCTTCTTACACCCACAGTACATTGACATCAATTGTCTTCTCTGGCTTACAGCTCATCACTGTTTACACCATGCCGGGAATGGACTCTGATTGGCTAATCGGAGAAAAGGGAAACCAAAAAGGAAAAGTACCTGTCACATACTTGGAGCTGCTCAGCTAAAATTACACACACACACACACACTTACACACATCCTGACACACACACACACACATATGTGAGTGTTTATTTGAGTTAAAGTGGGTAAAACTAAAGCCATGAAGGATCTTCATTCACAAAATTCATCTCACACTTTGTTTTTGGTTAAAGAAGAGAAAATGTCTCATTACGGCGAACATCTGTCAGTGCTGTCTGATCAGGATAATGAAACAACAATGCAATAACAATGTCTCTGCTCTGTTTGGGCCTGTAATGTGACACAAGTTTAACTAACTCAGGATATGTTTTCATTAGTATTCATTATGTAGTACACAAGATTACTTGGTTTCTTCTGGACTGATGTACAAACATCATCCCTCCTACTTGGAGACTCCTTGCTTTAAATTTAAATAAAATACACCAATTCTTAGTTTACAAGTTGAGCATAAATTACACTTATGAAAGCAACCAATTGAACTAGAAATGTTATCCTCTTTAACTATTCTTTCAACTCTAATACGACAGCATCATGATACTTGAAAACAACCTGGACATTATATTATTGTATAAACAATTAAAATATCTGTGGTTTACTCCCCACTAACAGATCTTCAGACCATTATGTGTTTGCTTAATAGGATTTTTTTAGTAATTTTCATCAAATTAGAATAATTTGTTCCGTAATTAACACGTTAATAAGCAGCTAGCTCCCAGTTAACCAGTCAAATTTAAATTTAGCATTGCTATGTGAATGTTTTTATTTGATTGACACATGACCAGTTCCAATAAGCTTCTAATCAACCTGGATTATTTAACCTTTCTTATTTAGGTTTATAATGTGGAGGAGTTGATAAGACAATGACCCCCTCGAAGGTTTAGAACAGGGGTCCTAAACGCAGATGAACCTGATTACATTATACATGTACTGTATCTAGTTGTGCGCTGCACCCCTCAGTACCAGCCTGCCTGGCTTCTCCTTATACTTGTTTCTTGACCGTTATGATGATTGTTGTTTACTTTGGTGGCCTTCAAAGTCACTGCCTATGAGCCAGAGATGACTCTAAGATGTGGCGTCACAGATGTAATAATTGTGTCAGTGCAATTCCAAATTTCTGCGGATTTTCTGTTGTTGTTGAAAAACATGGCCTTTGTTACATAGTTTTAATGGTTTCAAATCAATACTGCTACTGTTGTTCCAAATGTGAGTGCATAACGTTCTAGAAATCCTCTGAAGATGTTTGTGTAAAATGCCCAGATGTTTATGACTCACTGAGTACTCTGTACTCTCCTCACGTACTGAACTGCACTAACAGAACCAGAATTCTCCACTGTTACACTCTGACTATATTTATTTTTTATTTCATATTTATTTTCATGAACAAAACTCTCAGACTCTGTTAAAAGCTGTTCTTTTTGTAAACTCTGTTCAAAGCAGCCTGTTTCCATTTTGTCATTGGTATTCGACTGTTTGAGTGTTTTGTGTTCAAGTAGTAAATGACAGGCTATTTGAAAGACTAATTATTTAAATTCTATGACTTTATGTGTAATATTCCTTCATTGTAAATCACATCACATTTTGATCCTTCTCACTTCTGTCCTGCTGATCTGATTGGACAGCCTTTAAGCTTTTCAGGGGGACCATAACCTTCATAGTTCACAGTTCAAACCAAAGTTATGGCCAAAGTTACGTAAAAACTCTCCCTCATTTAACTTTTATCCACAAATATGTTAACTTTTCAGTACAGACCCGATGACAGTTGCAGCTGGTGAGTGGAGAAGAGACAGTTCAATCAAGGCAGAGGGATCAGCAGGTCATCCTGTTCTGGCAGCCATATTTGTATTTCTTGGGAAAGCACTTGTACAACCATACATTACCGTTTTTATTTAACATGGAGTTAGGCTGAAATGACAACAACACAAACAAAGCAGGAACATTTTATCTTTAAGTGCTAAATGCCTTTAACTACGAAGAGGCAGCATTAGCTGAACAACTGTAAGGAAATGATTGTATCCTCTGTTTGTTTGTCTTATTGGGACTTCCTTCTAAAAGGAACTTCCCATGCAGCATTATAAAGCATGTGTCGTGTCTGTGTTTGTGTGACCCACTCCCAGTCTCTAGTGTTCCTGTCTTGTCTTCAGTCTTTGTGCTGCATGCGCTGCAACTCCTAGGACTATATGTGTGTGTGTGAGTTTTTGACCCCCTGTCCTTGAGTAATGAGTAAATGCATGTTCAGCTTTTGTAAAATAAGTACATGAAATACAGTGCAAATAAAGTAAAAACCCTATGCCAGCAGAGAAGGGAAAGGATACACACATACACACAAACATTCCAGTACAGCAAGTACCAGTAACAGAGAACATGGTTACATCCCTCATGTCTTCTGCTCTCTGCCCACTGATGTCCATTTTATAATTTGTTCAGCTGTCCTTCCAAGTTGTTTCACTGCTGCTGTTATGATCATCTTGTGCCTAATCATGTCAATCTTTATTTCCTCTCAACTATGTCTTGCCTGATACTAAACCCTTCTAATGAAAGAAATATCTAGAGTTTAATAAAAAGTATGATTTATTTGAAGTTACTGTCTGTCATTGTTTCCTCTTTCCATTAGAACCCAGCACAATAAACCTGACCATTTAGATGTGGCATAATTCACATATGTTCAACAGCAAAATTTGAGGGCACAGTGTTTCTACCTTTTTGTGCTCAAAATGTACTTGAAAGTGCAGTGCAGACACAAAGACATTGAAGTCTAATGAGTAATGGCCAAATATTAACGGTTGAGTTTCCCAACAATGGCCCTGACTAGTGTAGACTTTCAATTTAGTTTATTGTATTCCTTAAATATAACTGAATAAAAGTAAAGGCACACCAATGGTCTATCAATTTCTGTCTGATCTATCTATCTGTCTATCTATCTACATGTGAAAATACAGGCTGGTGGTCTGCCTGCTGGGCATTGCTGCCTGACACACCTCCGCCAGTGCCTTTGTGCTGGCGTGCTCGTCTGAACACCTCTTTTGGCCCCACTAGTGCCTGAGTGTCACTAGTGGTGCCGACTTACCTCAAGGGTGAATTCCTTGGTATGATCACGGGGTGGGGATTAGGGCTGTAGCAGGGGAATTATTGGGGGTCATCCTTATACTTACCTTCAGGGTATGGGAAGGGGCTGAGGTAAGGGATGGGGTGGAATGGGGTGGCTTACTGGACTATGGCTTTTCCTGATTAGTTGGTTGTTTTTATAACTTGACTATCTTACTGTAAGACATGTCTTCAGTAGTGGACCATGGGGTCATCGAGTGTTTCGGCCATTATCACTAGACACTCTCCCCCTAGGA